ATGAAATGGGAACTAAGATGAGCACTTGTCCCAGCTATGGGGCTAAATGTTGGGTCTGAAAATTGTGTTGAGTGATTATTGATGCTTCTTGAGAGGGTGGGTCTCATTTATTTACAGGCAACTTTTGGTTTGCTCCATAATGTTCTCTCTCCTTGCTTAAAAAGAACGGGAAATGACAAATAGGTTTTAAAAGCATTAATTAATTTAAATTAAATTTTAAATATTAAATTTTAAAAATTTGTGACTTAATCTCTTAATTTTATAACTGTATTATAATAAATTTATAACTTATTTTTAAAATTTTAACATGATTGAAGAATAAAAAAAAATTATTTTTATTAAAATTTAAAATACAAGTTGCAAATTCATCATAATAAAATTATTAAAAATTAAGAAATTAAATTATAAATTATTAAAATTTGATATTTGAGATTCAATCTGAATTAATTGATCATTTTTCATGTCATAAACAAAGCAAATTATCCACTCCAGCCCTGTTCCTCATTCTTACATTTTGAATATCGTGAGTGGGTTACAGAGTAATGGCACTGACTTGGTCCTTTTTTAGAATATTCATAATTATTATTGTACACAATATTTTCAAAGCATTTTAATTTGAGCTGCGTTTGAATATTAAAAATTACAATTTCGGTTATGTTTTTTAAATCAGACGTTGACGACTTATTAATTGCTTAGAAAACGGGCTTTTGTTATGAGCATTTTTCCTTCTCGAGCGCTTGGCAACTGCATAGAAAATTTTTTGGCTAATGGTGCTTCAATGGTTGAGTGGGTGGGATTGAATATGTGGTCACTTTCGATAAAAAGTGTGCGATAACTGATGATATAGCTGTTGGCAAAAGATGTTTTTTTATTTTGTTGGGCCAGTGGGCAAAAGATGGTTCATGTTCCTCACTCACATCACATGTTAATTGTTGTTATCATACTCTTATTTCATAATGTATGTTTTTATAAAATTATTATACAATAAACAATAATAACAAGAGTCTTGTATCATTAAATGGAGCCAGCTATATGCATTTCACATTCTATTATGTTCTATTATTAATCAAGTTCTTAAAAATATTGTTAATCAAGTTTTATAAATTATTATATACTCCATTTGGTCCAAAGTTTAAATATTTTCTTTTCGTTAATTTTGGTTTAAAATATAAGTAACATAATATACGTAATTTTTTTTTTTATTCACCCCTTGTATAGATCCTTGTGTAAATGTTAGGTCTATGCAAAAGTCCTTCACTCTATTGCGGTTCAAATCAACTCGAGACAAACTTGATCATATCCGGTCTAAATAAAAATTAGTCTTTTAAGACCAAAATGATCAAATTCTTTCTTCAAGTTAGACTGAATAAGAGACTGAACATCTAGACTACTTAGTCCAGTCCGATCTTATAAATTTATTTAATATAATTATAATTAATTTATTAATTATTATTACAATAAGTAATTTATAATAATAATTAGTATTTTTTTATGTTTTATACTTGCGAACTCCAAAATATTAAGCAAAATTCTAATATTAACTAACCTCAATCTTCTTCTTTTATTGGTGTGAAATTTATTGTTAACTTAGTTTAAAAAACTTTAGACATATTGAAGGTTGTTTAATGTTGTTAAAAGGTTATTTAATTTAAATAATTTGTGTTATAACTGAAAATACTTTTATAGTTATTGGAGATTGTTGTGAATTTATAATTGTTATTGTTGTGGTAACTTTTATATGACTATAAGTAATTTTATTATGTTAATTGAGTTATTATATTAGAAAAATTGCTATCTCGCATGGATAAAAAAGAAAAAAAATATGGGATGTCTGACAAGATCGAAACCAGTCTCCTAATCTTACTGAACTCGTCCGATCTTGTTCAATTTCAAATTATACTAGGATTAGACTAAATTATGAATTGTTTAACTCAGTCCTTTTTATAAAAAAAACCAAACTATAAGTTAGGCTGAAGATTCATTGGGTCAATCCTTTTTTATAGTCCTAATAAATGTATCTCTTACTGTATTGGTAATTGACACTAAGAGTAAAAAAAAAATAATATAAATTTTATAGGAATAAAAACTTTATTGGTATACAATTTTTTTAAAAAAACTACTTATGTTTTAGATTAGAGGGGGTATACACACACACACAGATTTAGATTAGTAACTATAAGGATTAAATGAAAAAAAAATTACATGTATTAAATTGCTTATACTTTGAACAAAATTATTGAAAAAAAATGTTTATATTTTAAATAGAAAAGAGTGTGTGTGTGTGTATATATATCTATATATCTATATTAGAAATACAACAAAGACGTAAATTTATAGATCATAGACTATATTATCAAAGTTATCCTAAATTCTCTCGATATAGCAGCCCAAACTAGCACTCACGGTATCGTCTATATATATATATATATATATATATAAACTCTGAATTGTTAATGATTTTTTGATTAAAAAATTTAATTGTTAATGATTAGTATTCAGTGTTCACTGTTCACCATGCTAATGCGTTGAATATTAGAAAAATATCAATCAAGGAAAGCGGAAAGAATGTGTGTGTGTATATATATATATATATATATATATTAAGAAATACAACAAAGACGTAAATTTATAGATCATAGACTATATTATCAAAGTTATCCTAAATTCTCTCGATATAGCAGCCCAAACTAGCACTCACGGTATCGTTTTATTATATATATATATATATATATATATATAAAACTCTGAATTGTTAATGATTTTTTGATTAAAAATTTAATTGTTAATGATTCAGTATTCAGTGTTCACTGTTCACCATGCTAATGCGTTGAATATTAGTAAAATATCAATCAAGGAAAGCGGAAAGAAATTTATATCAATCAATAATATTTATTATCAAAATTTAAATAAATACTTATTAATTTAAATAATTTTTTATTAATAAATATTTATTCAGATTTTAATAATAACTGAATTAATAATAATTTATTTAAAAATTTTTCTATTTATATTTTAATAACAATTAATTTTAATTAATTTAATTTTTCTTTGATGATCCTTCATCGCTATTTTTCATTGAATATTTGAATCCCAAATTCATCCATGTTCGGGTCTCAGGCGAAACCTTTTCCTCTCCCTTGCCCCAGTAGCTTCCCTCTCTCTCTCTAAAATAGCAAACTTTTATGAGATATTTTGTAAAAAATCTTATCTGATTTAACATATAAAGTATTTAATAAATTTTATATTTATTTTTTTAACTATAACCCTATTTTGTTTATCACTCTTTTTAAAAAAAATCAAAGTTTTTTATATATAGTATTTAATAAAGGTATAAATAGAAACATTTTTCAAGGTATAAATGGAAACATTTTAAAAAATTTAAAATTTCAATGAATATTATTTATAAATTTTAATTAATTAACTATCACTCATATAATATGGTAAGAAGAAGAAAGTATGTATTAAGTTTACACATGTCTTTTTTTTTAAAAAAATACCTAGTATTTCGCTCATTAAATATAATCATAGAAAGAAAAAGGAAATAGCTAGTTCTCAGTCCACAAGTTCACTGTCGCTCTTGAGGATAAAGCATATGCCCCATCCAGTTTTATTATAAGATATTTTTTAAAATAATTTTTAATTTAAAATATAAGATACCTTATAATAATTAAATATTTTTTAATTTTATTTTTTTGATTAGCTTGAAGGTATTTAATATAGTTATATTATTATTTAAAGTCAGGATTAAGAATAAAATTATATCACTTTTTATGATGTAAAAATTAATTTTTAATATACGTAAAATGATTAAAAAATGTCGATAAGGATTGGAAGGAGTATGTGCCCGTTTGAATTGCAGTTGGGTATAATATATTATGAAAATAATTGATTAAGTGATAGATTTTAATCATAACTGATTATGTTATAACGCAATCTGTTTGAATACTTATTTTCTAAAATTAATTTTAACGGAATTAAATACGTTTGGATAATTTATTCAAAATTAATTTTAATTGTATAAATTACCATAAAGGATATTGCATTTCAAAACTAAATTATTGATAAATTTATATCTAATATTATTAAAGTTGTTATATTTTATTTAAGAAGTAAAATATATTATAATTTTATTTTTATTAAATTTTGGGTTTTTTATAATTTTTTGAGTCTTTCTTTATAATTTTTTCCACCGCTTTTTTATCAATTCTGTGAAGAAGCTCAAATTGTCAGCTTTTGAGAAAAATTGATTTTAACCAAAAAATTGATTAAATGAAAATCATGTGTTTGAATATTTTTTTGGTTAATCGATTTTTTTACTGAAAAATTAATTATTTTGCTTAATCAAATAGGCACTATATCTTCAACACTTTCCTCCACGTTTCAAGTGGGAGGCGAGAAAAAATTGGTGTAATTCTCGTGTTGAATTTTTTATTAAATCCAACGCTTGAGTCTTAAGTCGGCATGTTTTACCAATCCGGAAGCACGCAATGGACGTCTGACCCTGATTAAGCTGGTCATTATTCACATGTGGGCGCCTGCGTTTCATGTGATTTCAGGTTGAATCCAACATTCAGACTCAGACAGACACGACCTCTGATCCTCACTTCATTTGAATACTTGGTAAACGAAAAGCGCTCACATGCCGGACGTGGACGTGGAATATTACAACCTTGAATGGATTTGAATCCTTTCTATATTTTTTTTAACATATCTTTCTAGTTTCTATATCCAATCTCAGCCACCCATTTAAAAATTCATTTTTCTTCAGGTGTGCTATTGTTAATTATAACATTATAATAAATAGGGTATTTATTTAATAGTTATCATCAATAAGTATTATATCGTCTTATTTTTAAAATCATTTAAGTGACGATAATAAATAATTTATTTATTTTAATAATATAATTAACAATCTCACATTATTAAACTAAAATAATAATTAAATTAATAGATGAGATGAAAAAGGAAGAGTGAGGGGAGAGGAGTATGGACTATAGAGAGGATCCAAATCCTAGTTGGATAGACGATCATCTTGCTCCTCAAAACGACATCAGAATCGGTCTCCTATTATAAGTTCTTAACTACAGCAATACTGGGAAGCGGGACCACCAGGGTCATGTTTACCGACGCATAAGGTCACTCGAATGATTTTTTACTCAGCAAACTATTCGATGAAGGAGAGCTTTGTTCGCTCAGCCAAAAATCTGGGTCTTGCACCGAGACCGGAGAGCTCTTCGGCCTTTCCATTAAGTTTAACGCGGCAGGCTTAGTCTGCAACTTGAGAAGCCCTTTGCCCTCCGGTCCTACCGTATTTTCTTTCACACTCAGAGGCTTCTCACTCTCATCAGAGGAAGGAGAAGAAGAGGACAACTCCGTTGAGGCTATTCGATTGCTGTCTTCAAAGGTTGTCCACCTACTCAGTCTGATCTGCTCTAGCTCAGCAGCCACTTCTGTCATTGAAGGCCTCATGTCCCTGTGGAATGCGAGGCAGCGAAATGCTAGCTCGGCTACCTTGTGTATGGAGAAATGTGTCCAATCATCGTTATGTGCTTCCAGGAATGGATCTATAATCTCATACAAAAGCCCCTTCCCTATCCTGTCCGTAGCAAAAGAAGCCAAATTCACTGCATTCTGGGGACGAGTAAAGTCCACCACTTTCAATCCTGTTAGGATCTCAACAAGTACAACCCCAAAGCTGTAAACGTCACTTTTATCAGAAAGGTGGAAATCTTGATGGTATTGTGGATCAACATAGCCAGGCGTTCCTTGCGGGGCAGTTGAAACGTGGGATATTTCGGTCATTCCAGGCCTTGAAAGACCAAAATCTGCCACTTTGGATCTAAAATTGTTGTCCAACAGTATGTTGCTTGACTTAATGTCCCTGTGGTAAATGGGGGGATCAATGGCAGAGTGGAGGTGTGCTATGGCTCGTGCTGTTTCAGCAGCAATAGTGAGTCGAACCGACCATGGGAGCCCAATCCTCTCTCCCTCAACAGATGTTGATTTAATGTTCCATTGGGCATGACTAGTAGCTTCAGTCAAGCGCCTTTTTGTGCTCTTGGTGACTCTTAATTTGGAGCGCCGCCTAACATATTAGGCCCAAACCGATCATTAACGAAGCTCCAAAAACCATTCCTGCATGAGAAGTTGTCATAGTTACATATGCTTGTACAATGCCAGGCTGCAGAGCATCGGTAGAACTTAGTCTTGACTGTTGATTTACTAATCTCTAACGTGGGAGCTAATTCAAACTCAAATGTAGCCATGTATATTTAAAAAAACCGGGACACCAAAATGAAACCATATGAACTTTGACTTTGTATTCTCTCTCCCTCCCTCTCTCTCTATATATATATATAAAAGTTATTATTGGTTATTTTGCATTTAATTTTAAGCTAATAGAATTTTTTTTCTTTGAAGGACCTCTATGATCCCTAACAAATCACCTTGTATCCAGCACATGGAATAGGAATACTAACCTCCAATCAAGACAACAAATCTGGTTGCCCCTCCACATTGGCCAGACATGTACTTTGCAGGGTTGCAGGTTGAAGAGTCTGTTCGTTTACATGCCCAAATTTACGCGGAGCAATTAGTAAAGAAAATATTTAAGACATAATGAGAAGGCAGCATAATTTGCAGCAAGTACATGTGATTTTTGTTTTTTTAATTACCGCTGCCATAGCTAATGAGCCCTAATAAGGCCCCCAGTTTATGTCTGATCAGATTATATAATCTCAAACTTCAATATCAAGATTCAAATTCACAAGCCATAAAAATTCAATTATTCGAACCGATGAGCATACTCGGGAACATTAGTTATTATCTTCGTGAGATCCGTCTTTCTGCCTCATCATGCTGTCAGAATAGCGAGTTCCAAAACGAGAACAAATAAAACGATCAATTAGAGTTTATTCTGGCCCACATTAATTGAGATGTTCCTGGTGATGTGATGCCCAAAAGAACAAAAATAGAGGAGAGAGAAAGGGAAAGGAAACATTGTTGGACCATGCTATGGAAAGAAGTCTTGACCAGAAGGCCAGTTGATAAGCAAGTTGATTCAAAATCCCCTTGATCAGGGATTGGAGTGGGTCATTCATGTTTCAAGGCCTTTATGACGTGTCTTCCTCGTCCCATTTGAATTGTTATCCCTCACTTCCCCTCTCTTACCGCTAAACAAAGGATCCTGCTCAGAGAGAGGAAAAAACAGTAGAGGATCGGTTCACGAGGCAGGTGAATTGGCTCTCCTAAAGGTGTTACAGAAGACTGAACAACACTAAATTTTACACATAACTAAAAGTCTTATTTTTATAAAAAGAATTGAATTAGATAATTTATAATCTAGTCTTATTTAATAATAACTTAAAAATTAATAGGGTTAAATTTAGTTCATACGATTGAAAAATTGATCATGTTAGTCGAGTACCTACTTAGTTATTTTTTTATTTTTTTCTCTACGAGAGGCAATAATTTATTTCAACCTAATAAACTAAATTAAGATAATAAGATTACTTATAATCATAATAAATTTAAAATAATTTTTAACAAAAAAAATATTTCAATTAAAATCTAAATGATTTAAATTTATAACTTTAATAAAAACAACACTCAACAAACTAACAAACTTATATAAAAAAATTTAAAAATAAACACAACAAATCTTCATATAATTATCTACTTAGCGTAAATTATATTTGAAACATTTGCCAAAAATAAATAAATTATAATTATATTAAATAAATTAATAGTATGAATTAGGCTAAGTAATCTATATGCTCAGTCTCCTATCTAATTCAACCTAAAAAAAAGTCTAATCTTTTTAATTTTAAAAGATCAATATTTAAAAATCGAACGAAATAAGACTATCTGGATTGAACTAAGTGGGATAAAATTGTTGGAGGACTTTTTGCACAACCTTAAGCTCTCCTTGTCAGAATTTGACTTACGTGTCCCACTCCTACTAGTCCCTCTCCTATATATTTTTCAAATTGATAATTAATATTTAACAGCTGGAAAGCATTTGGTTTGTTTTTTCCCCTATCGTTTATTCATTTTTTCCTCAAATATTTTTTAACCCTCGCACGGATACTAGTTTCTTTTTAAAAGTTAGTATTTCCCTAATCAAAATGCCCTTCATATCAGATAAAATGATCGCGGCTTAATAAATCAACATGATGATATGAATAAAAATCCACGTAAATACTTCCAAGTTATCTGAATCTCAGCTTGCAAAACAGTACAGATCAGGCAAATTAACGATTAAGTAAACTTTCATACAAGTTATGTCAAATGAATCAGCTAAACCATGAATAAATGGTTAATTATTTCCAATGAAGAAGGAGTAAATCAAAATATTTTAATTTCGAAGAATAAAATTAAAGAAAATAATCTATCAACAGCTAGATATATTTTAAAAATAAAAAATGAGCCCGTGTCATCATGCACGCAAAAGAGTACGGAGTAACGTTGTATGACAATCCCCCCCCCCCCACAAACCCAAATTGTATGAGAATTTTTTAATATTAAAGTTTGTAGACTGCATGTCGCAGACTTGATGAAAACTATTTTTTATTAATTAATTGGAACTTAGAAAGTGTGGATATTGGCAGGGAAACGCCATCTGATCAACCAGCCCCGAACCGTGGTCAATCAACAAGGCTCACTGTGTTCACCTAATTAAAAATCAAAAGCTAATGGAATTATGGCGATCATTGCGCCAAAAAGTCAATCCACAATTATGTCACCTTCAGTTAAAAATATTTTCATCAACTAGAACTGACCTTTCCGACAACCACTTCCGGCCAAGTACCCGTCGCCCGTGAATCCTTCCTTGCAACGGCACCGGTACCCTGGCTTCTTGTCAATCGGCGATTTTAGTCTCGTACAATTGGCATCCTTGGAACACTGGCACTCTCCTTCCAGCCACCATCCGAGCTCAATCGTCTCAACCTCCAATGATACCGCTGTCACCGCACTCACATCCGAGTTGTTCCTTAAATCCTCAGCCGCTATCGAAGACATGAGGTACGTACAGTGTTTGTTTGTTAAATTCTGGAGATTCATGAAATCAGCGGTCGAGTTTTCGTAATAGCAACTCAAATTGCCACCGCCGGAGCTGCAGTTTTTCGACTCGAATCTAGTCTGCACCATGGTCGCCGGGATGATGCATGGGGAGACCGTTTTGCTGCAGTTTTGCAAAAGGATGGCGTTTCGCGACGTGGGCGCGTATCTATGGCTGAAGAGTTGGCCGAAGGTATGAAACGGGCGATTGCATCGGGATTTGACGCCGACAATTATGGTATCGGAGTTAATGGAGTGGACCGGGTATTCTCCTATGAGGATTCCGGCAGAGGGGTTGCAGTTGAGTCGGATTGCGCAGCCGGAAGAGAAGCCAAAGGGGTAGGGGAAGGCATCGGGGGAGCGGTGCGGACGGCATGTTTGGTGGCAGTGGCGGCGGTTTGATTGAACCGGGATAAGGGGAAGGAGAAAAACGAGTAAAAGGATGAGAGGCGAGTGTTTTGTGATCATGGAAGTGGAAAGAGATCATGTAATGAAGAAGAGACTATAATTGAAGTTACGATAACCGAACTGCTTGGGTGATCGGAGCAACGCCTGGAAGAATCACAGGTCTTCAGTACGTTGCTTTTGGTTTGAGTTTGGTGCGGCGGAATGGCGTTTTGGCGGATAGGACGACAAATACGTTTTCAACAAGACTGCGTGACCAAGACATTTCTCGTTTCCACCCCAATTTTATATTTGGCGGAGTTGTGTTGTATTTGTCTTCTTTTCATGCCTCACCTCTCAAAATAAAGGCCAGACAATCACATAAAAGCATATTTAATTAAACCCTTCTGAATGATGGCACATCTTCGGAGGATCATTCACGGGGGCATGCTAATCAAACCGATCGATCCGGTCTGTGATATGGATCCTGGTTGACAATCAAGTCGGGTGCCTTTTATTTATTTAGGAAAAATCACATCTAGATTCATAAAGCAAATGTAAATACAGTCAAGTACCACCAAATGAAAAAAAAAAAAAATTGTGCAATCTCTTGATCTTTTAGTGTGAATAATTCAATAGGTAAAATTATTTATTTTTACTGAGTGAATCAAAAGTAAAGATAAAGAAAGAAAAATCATTTTCGTGCAATGGAGGTAATGAGCTGAGCTCTCACATTCGTCTTCAAAAAAGTGAGTCAGGTAAAATTACTTTATAGTTAAAATGTAAACTCACTGTTATCCTCTCATCCCATATTACTACTTCTTTAATCTTTTAAATACGTTCGGTGTTTGCAATTATAAGGGTTCGTTAAGAAAGAAAAGTTCAGCTTTGACCTTCAGTTTTAGTGTTATTTTAACAACACCGAACAAGGTAAATGATTAGATTAAATGATTAGTAAAGAACGCATGCAATGGTGAATTACATGATTAGCAAAGAATACATATAAACCAATCTTATTATTTACATTGTTCAGCATAGTTATAGTAACACTAAATTGAAGGTTGAAGGTGGGCTTTTTTTTCTGGATGAATTCCTACAATCACAAACACCAAATGCGCTAAAAAGATCAAAGATGCATCAATATGGAATGGGAGGATAATAGTGGGTTCACATTTTAACAATAAAATGATCCTATCTTGCTCACTTTTTTTTTAAGACGATTGCGAGGGCTCTTTTCATTATCTTCACTGCACAAAAATGGTTATCTTTCTTCATTCTTTTCTTTTGTCAGTTAGAACAAATGAGTAATTTTATTTATTAAATTATTCACACCAAATGATCAAGAGACTGTAGAATATTTTCTCTGTTTGGTGAGACTTAACCGTATTTATATTTGCTCTATAAAAACCAGGTGTGATTTTTCCTTTTATTTATGCAAACCCGATCCGATCAGTCAAGATTAAATAAAATGTACAAAATTACAAATGAAATGACTTATATTCAGCTGTCTATGGTTACGTAACGCACTGTTGCTCAGCCAAGAGTGCCCCCGTAAAAGGTCCTGGTGCGGCAGACGGCTCTTTAATCTTTATTCTTCTAATTATACTGAGTTACTGACTACTTTACAAATAGGAAAATCACGCATAAAGTGCCACATATGAATTTACCTTTTAATTAATTTCATGAAATTCAAAAATAATACTAAAGTCTTAATAGACTTTAACCGTTATTATTTTTGCACGTATTTATTAAAATAATTACAATAAAAGTTTCACATAGTTTTATTTTTTTTAAATGAGTGCATTTTGATAAATGCACATGGAAAATTAATTAGTATAGGAATTTATGAAATTTTAGGGTCATTAGTGTAATCGATGAGATTTTTTGAGAACCGAGATCTGCATGCCAGACCTCTATATGATTTTCCCTTATCAAAACCTGCCAAAACACAATAAATGTTTCCTTACATGTACCGTGCGTGACGCTTCCCGCATCACATGCCATCAGAATATGAGATGTTATGGGCATTTATTCACGTATGAGGGGAAAAAACTTGTGATGCCTGCTGATTTATCACGCCTTGACGTATTATTCACTCTAATTTTATTTATATGTTATTTTTAATATGTTTTTTAAGAATAAAAAAAATTTTAAATTTTATTAATTCTGTCTAAAAATTTAGGTTTTAACTTTGTCTTACTAAATACATATATCCTAGCAACATACTTTCTCTCGCTAATGCTTAATAGAGAGTGAAAAGAAAACTTGTCATAAAAGAAATCATTAAATGACTTATAAATATGAAAAAAATATGATCTCTCTATCGGATAAAATAAATTATTAGTTAATACTGGTTATACAATCCAACGAATTAGTAGCAAAAGAGTTTTCGACAATAGATGAGCAATTCATGCAGGCAACTTTCTTTATTTTTTTTTTTTGAATTACTTGTATGTATTCTTCTATTAAAAATAATTTTGTCTGATGTATTGTCAAGACATTAAACATAGACACATTTTTTAGCAAAAATTCAATCTTTAATTTATGACGTGAAAAATTAATCCCTTTTAATGGACGTGATCTCGATGGTCGTATGGGGAGCTTTCAATTAGACTCCCACTTGCTTCTCCCTAATTCCTAACGGCTCAATTGGCACCTAACCCAAAAATGGTGTTTTTTTTTTTTGTGTTTTTCTTTTCTCTTTAAATTGAAACCCAAAAACCTATTTTCAAACTTCACATCTAGACGCAAACGCGTGTCTATTTACTAACTACATAAAAAAAAAAGCGTGTCTATTTAAATTATATTCGATAATAAAAAAAATAAGTAAATTTATTTTCTGTCACGAGTCTCACATCGGAGAGCTTCACAAGTATTGTAAGGTTTATAAATGTGACAGGCTCTCCCACCCAATAGGCTAATTTTTTAGGATGGGCTCTCCCTTTAGGCTTGTACTTATCACATTGGTGCTTTCATTGAGAGTCCGGTATCATGGAAAGGGCTACCCATAGAGGGTTTTAACCAGTAGAAGGTCGAGTGAAGTGCCGTGGAGTGAAGCCGCTGGGGACGTCGGCTCTTGATAGGGTGGCATTGTCACGAGTCCCACATTGAGGAGCCTCATAAGTATTGTGGGGTTTATAAGTGTGAGGAGCTCTCCCACCTAATAGGTTAGTCTTTTGGGATGGGCTCTTCCTTTGAACTTGTGCTCGTCACATTGGTGCTTTCATTGAGAGTCCGGTGTCACGGAAAGAGCTACCCCCGGAGGGTTCTGATTGGTAAAAGACAAAGTGAAGTGCCGTGGAGTGAAGCCATCGGAGACGTCGACTCTTGACGGGATAGCATTGTCATGAGTCCTACATCGGGGAGCCTCACAAGTATTGTGAGGTTTATAAGTGTGAGGGGCTCTCCCACCCAACAGGCTATTCTTTTGGGATGGACTCTCCTTTTGGACTTGTGCTTGTCACATCACTCCACAACACTTCACTCGGCCTTCTACTGGTCAAAATCCTCTGTGGGTAATCCTTTCCGTGACACCGGACTCTTAATGAAAGCATCAATATGATGAGCACAAGTTCAAAGGGAGAGTCCATCTCAAAACACTAACCTGTTGGGTGGAGAGCCCCTCAAATTTATAAACCTTACAATACTTGTGAGGCTTCTAGGTGAAACTCGTGATATTTTTCCCATCGACATTGAAAATTAAAAGAGTCAGAGACAATCAAGCATAGAGGAAAATAATATCAGTGAAGTTAATCAGGTTAGGAGAAATAAGAAATAGAATAGATTGGTCACCGGGGCTTGCTCGTAAGACGCAAGCTAAATCTAACGGATGTGCATTTTTTTTAAAAAAAAAAAATTGGGTTGACCAACTAATGGATGTGGGGGCCACTACACATTACCCGACTACGAAGGTGAAGAACTGAAGCAGCTTCATCTCCAACATAAAAAATAAAAGAGGAGCTTGTCGTGAAATAGAAGATGGCTGCTTGTACAAATTCTACACCACTTTAACTCTACCACACTTGTAGCTGCTAGCTCCAACATCTCGTGACATTTTAACATTAATCACGTTCCAACGCCTAACTTTTTTGTTCTGGGTTGATTAAACGCTTTTCAAGGTTCGACTAACATTGAATAAGTTTGACCCTGAACAAGACACCGTCAGGACTCAAGAGGTGAACTCGGCTGTCACTCAAATTATCCCCCTTTCTTCTTTTGAAACTTAATTCCTGCTTTGACCAGCCTCTTTTACGACATCAGCTGCTTTATCTTTTTTCCTTTTTTTCCTCCCTACGCCATGGTTGGGTAGATTATTACGATAAAAAAGATGAGGCTTTCACCCTCAAATTTATATAACGCATATAAAAAAAAATTCCTTTAAAATCTTTAAACTTCCAAAATTGATCCGAAATAAAATTACAATAATCAAGGTGTTCCCCCCGAGTTTTTGTTCAAGCCCAGGTCCATTTGTAATTATATAACGTTTTTCGGATAATATTCTTGAACTTCATTCGATGGTTGTGGCATTGGAAATTTTAGAATGAGCCAATCATCGGACTTCTTTCAGAGAGCTGTACAATTCACTCTTCTTCCAATCATAAGCCCAAGAAGTATTTGATGTGGGCCTCGAAACTATTCCCGGCCCAAGAAATACAAGAAGACTGATAGCGCCCGGTCGCCCGCCGAGACGAGAACCGAGCAATGAGCAATAATGGCATGCTTCGGACTCAAACTCAACAGGTTTTGGGAGGTATTTTGTTTCTCCTTTCCTAGCAACCAACGTATTTTCTCTCTCTCCTCTCCTCCTCGCTTCTGCTTCCGAATTTCTACGTCTAATAAATCACAGTAAGTAATGGCAAAAATATCTCAAGTTGATAAACAGAAAGAAAAAGAAAAAAGAAAAAACTGAGCAGAGGAGAAGAAACAGATTAGGTAAGTAATGGAAGGCACGGCTTATAATAATAATAATAATTATTTATATATAACAGAGAATACGGCTATCAGGACTCGGCCGTGGATACTGAACAAATAAGCAGAGATGAGTGAAAGAGTAAATAGAATACAAGAGAGGAGACAAAAGGAAAGAGGGGAAATAGAACTAGAAGAAAGTGAAAGGATCGTGGAGGGAGGAATGATTGGGTGGGGAAGACTTGGAGAAAGGGGAGGTGACAAGGGATTGGAGAGCGGCTGTGAACTTGTTGATCCTCTTCCTCTGACGAATACGCTTCAGGATGAGCTGTTTGTCCATTTCCATTTTCCCACCTCCCTTTATCTGCAATTCCCTCGTCACCCCCACCGCCTCCTCCTCCTCCTCCTCCTCCTCCTCCTCCTCTTCATCCTTCAACGCCAGGTTCTGCAGCTTCACGGCCTTTGAATTCTCTGACATATTTTTCTCAGATATGTGCCCAGGACTTCAGCTTCTGCAGAGTGATCGATGCGCTTCAAAGGTGGGAGTGAACTCGGTGATGCCTCTTCTTATAGGGATAACAAATCGGTCGGTGTGACTGGAAACCATGAGAACGGCCGGTTTCTGTCAGTCCCTGATTTTTTTAATATTGCTGCTACTGGGGATGTGTTGTTGGTCGGTTTTATTCGTCTGTTTCTCTGGCGATTCGGCACACTTCTTACATCTTGCATCACATCAACAGAATCAGATTCGGTCCTATCCACACTTGCGTGCATATGATCTGTTTTTTTCCCTATATATTACCTCATTAAGTGGTTTTTTTTAATAATTAAATCGAAAAGGGAGTAGCATAGTATAATTTTATCCGCTGCCCCCTTCCTTTCATTTTTTTTTTTGGTACACCACCTTCCTTTCATTTCTACTCTGTACCCGAATACAAAAGGCATGCATTTTTAATCAAGGGCTAATGATCTTTTCTGCAACGTAACATCCCTCGGTTATCGGACGCAAATAAATCATTCTTTATTTTACTTTAAAGATGCTAAAGCAGGCAGCTACCCAAAATACTCCCTGCATCAACATTATTTTTTAAAAACAAAAATATAATTTTTAAAAAAACTTTTCATTTAATAACTTTAATTTTACACTGATATTAAATAGAGATAAAAAAAGAATAATATTAAAATAAACTTAATGAAACTTTAATTTTTTTTAAAGTATTTTATATTTTAAGATGTTAAATCTTCTTAAAAATATGTCTATAAAAATTAGGGAGTAGAATCTAAGTCTGGCTGCAGTTTATAAAGATCCAAAGTAATTATAATTTCATCTGCAGTGGTAAAGCATCCATACGCGGACAACGTGTCTCCGCAATAAGGGGACAAATCATATAATTGCGGCAAAGCACCCACGGTTCTCCAGATATAACGTGACCTTGATGAAATGACAATCTTACATTTTGCCAAACACAATTTTTGAGGAGAGATGACACGGACGATGTTCTGATATATATATTCTACAGATATCGGCTTGCAGGCCAAGTTAAACGACGTTCCAGGACACATATTCTTCCCGCCATATCTTAATGATTGATACTAACTAAAAATCATGACGTCTCATCCAAACAAACATCCTTGTGGGTGGTAATAGTCATATATAGGAACTCTGGTTTAGGTGTTAAGGTGTTTAGCCCAATATAGTGCGAACTGTTTCAAACTTATCTTCCGCAAGAGTTGCAAGAGTCGCATTCCCTTCTTAATTAACGTGATAGCTAGTCACCCATCAGGTTTTGGCTGATCGTGACCACCCTTTGAAGTTTGAATTTCCTTGCCCAAGCTATACCTAAAAAGTCCAAAATCCAATTTATCTTAATTTCACCTCGTCCTCTAGCACTCTCCACTCTCCATTAAGGCTTACCAACTAGACCATAATTCCAACTCCACAACCTACTAATATTTTCAAACGTCATCCCTCAGGTTTGTTCCTTTCCCTTTAGCTGCACACACAACTATCATTATAATTAACTACGAAATATTTATGAATTAAACAAAACACAAATTAGTCAAAGAATCGTACTTCTTATTTCTTGAATCAACACGGGACGCACAATTCTCGGAGAACACAGTATTTTTGGCACATCAGTGAGACTATGTAGTACAATGATCACATGCTCTGGCTTCGAATTCACGAAATCTCGTTGGACTTGGTCAAATTTTTTCAGGCAGCATAAAATTTCAAGTCCCTTGCGTTGCGTTTCTTGCTCAATTTGACACCTTGAGTGAGCCCCGTGGCAGTGATCACAGAGCATCGTAAAGCTGGGAAGAAAGACGAGGTTGGATGAAAGCCTCGAGAGGAGTAGCTTTCATGGTAGTGAGTCCAAAAACCTCACTCATGTCAATGGGCTCGTCAGATGGCTTTGAGAATTCAAAGGAGTGCAAGAACGTGGCCAAAGTGAGATGAATGGTCTGAAGGCCGAAGGATATTCCAGGACAAATTCTTCGGCCACTTCCAAATGGGAGTAACTCAAAATGATGCCCTCTCACATCAACAGCTTTGTGGGTAGTCAGAAATCTCTCTGGCTTGAACTCCAAGGGGTCTGACCAAACGGTGGGATCTGTTTGAATCTTCCACAAATTGGTAATGAGTCGCGTTCCCTTCCTAACAAGAAAGCCACCCACGGTGCAGTCCTCTGTGAATTCACGGAGTCCCGAAAGAGATGCGGGTGGGTGCAATCTTAGTGTCTCCTTCACAATTGCTTGAAGATATACCAACTGACTTATGTCAGATTCTTTCACCGATCTTTCCTTTCCAACTTGGATGTCCAATTCCTTCTGTGCCTCTTTCAAAGCATGGGGGTTGCTTAACAAACGTGACATTGCCCATGTCAGGGTCACTGTGCTAGTATCAACCCCTCCGGCAATTAATATCTACAAAATAACAATATTCGTAAGAAGATATTGGAGTCAGGTGCCAATTAAGTGCCATTTTTTAGAATGAAATTGTTAGAGGCTATACTAATTACTAAGTTTGCCTATGAAACTTGTGTCCAAAAAAAAAAAAAGAGTTCAAAACTGAAGAATGGCACGCAACTACAACATATACATACCAATGTGGTAGCTTTATTGATGGTATCAGCATCATACCCTCCCAGCTCAGAGCCGCCGAGAACAGAGAGCATGACGTCCATAAAGTCTCCGTCTCCTTTATGGTCTCCTGAGGCTCTCTTGCATCGGTGCTCTTCCAGCCACTCTTCTAAAATGGTGTCGAGTTCCTTTGCAGTTATCTTCATGGCCTTTTCATGTCCATCCAAATCCAACCATCGAAGATAAGGGAGGGCGTCCCCTAACACGAACACTCCCATCAAACGAACGAACTCCCTCAGAGTCTTGAGAAACCGCCGTGCCTCTTCCTCGTTCACCTCAGCTCTCCCGCCAAAGTACCGTTTCCCGGCCATTGTTCTGAGAACCTCGTTCATCGTCAATTCCCCAAAACACTGACTCAAATCCACTAAAAGCTGGCCTGCCTCGTTCTTTCTCTCAGCCCAGAGTTGAAACAGCCCTTTCACGCAACAATCAACCTCGGACACGCGCACATGACTTAATTGCTGGATTCGGCAACTGGAGAGCAACTCAAGAGTGGCGAACTTGCGAATCTCACGCCAATAAGGACCATAGGGTGCGAAAAGAAACATGGCTTGGTTGTAGCTGAGGTTATCAACGGCCACAAGTTTAGGGCGCGAGGAGACGGCCAAGTCGTTGGTGGTGTAGCATTCTTGAGCCATTTTCCAGTTGCTGACCACCAGAGCACGTCGAGACCCAAGCTTGACAGTGAAGATGGGCCCGTACTTGTCGGCCAGAGCTCCCAAAGAGTAATGGGGTATGTTTGAACCGCTCAAGAGTGGAAGGTGGCCAATAACGGGCCAGCTACCCCCTGCTATAGGAGCCTCTCTCCTCTCATGAGCTTTGGAACTCCTTGTGAGAAAGAACCCTAGTAGCAGGAGAGAAAGCAGTCCTACTACAGTTGTGTGAGCATCTAAGCTACTCAGAACTGAACCCATGTTGGGGGTGATGCTCTGCCTGTGCGATATCTTGATTCTTTGAACAAGGGGAAAAACCAGTGACCCTTATATTGGCTTCGTGGTGGATGGACAGTGGCGCAAGACTTTTCTGAGGCTCGAAAAGCCCCATATTGGAAGTTGATTGTCTTTTGTAAGGGTGTTTAATCTGAATTCGTCTCGATTGGTCCGATATCCGATATCGTCTCGATCATATTGGAACGGAATGGAAAAGGGATTCGAGATGGGACGGGACACAGGATTACCATCAGGACGTCCCGTCCCGTCCCGAATATTATATATATTATTTTTTATTTTAAATATATTAATTATATTTATATAATTTATACTTATATTAATTATATCAATTATAATTTTAATACTTACAATTCTTATTTAAAACTAAAGTGTTTTTATATTGATAATTTTAATGGTATAAAGTAAACATGACGATATCTTTTTTATAATATATTAATTATATTAATATAATTTATTTTTATATCTATCTATTTAATAATTTTTATTTATAACCTATTTCTTGCTTATTTTTAAAAGAGTAATTAGCTTAGTACATCTTCACTAAAGTAGAAGAACAATTATTTGATGTTGTGTTTGACTTGCCTGTTGTTGCTAATCTTATAACATAAAGATCACTTGTATTTTTTATTATAATATATAGTTGTGATTAATATAATTCAATAATTAATTTTAAATTATTGTTATTTATGTACTTGTGTTATTTTGATTTTAAACTTGATAAATTATATAATTTAAAATTTTAATGAACATTATTATTCAGATCTTTTTTTAATATTATTTTATTTATCGGGATGGCGGGACGTCCCGATCTTGTCTCAATCCTGTCCCGACTCTTAACGGAACGGGACGACTTTCGGAACGGGACGGGACACGAAACTAAAATTAAATTTCAATCTTCTTTTTGGGACGGGACACTCCCGTCCCGTGAACACCTTTCGTTCAGTTTTCCCAGGTAACCGCATAGCCAATTTCTTCATCGCTCCTTCTCATATTTCCACCGTACGTTTTTCCATCAGCCGTCGGGTGACAATTCTGAATTTGGGGATGGATATGGTGTTTTTTTTTTTTAAAATATTAGTGGGTTATTTTTTTGTCCACGGCAAGAGATGGGGAAAAATTAGAGCCTCTTAATCATCAATATAGTCAAATAAAAGGTGCAGGAAAATGAAAAATTGCACTAGATTCATTCCCTCTATGATCCTCTCCCGAGCAGAATACTAATCGGATTTCGCTTTCTCAACGCAATCAATCAGTGGAACATAACTCCGGGTCATGATTGAATATAGTGAACGTGTCCTTGTCATGTCCTCTCCTGAAACTAGGCGTCACTTGAGCATTATTCTTCCTCGTCATAATTAACACCGAATACTACCTCTTTAAGAATGTTAGGGTATTGGAATTATTTTTATTTTATTATATTAAAAATTAATGTTTTATAAAATATATTTTAAAAATAAAAAAATAATAAAAGTTTTTTTATTTTTTAGAATAATAATTTCAGAATATTTAAAAATTATCTTAATTTTTTTTATTCTTCATAAAAATATTTTATTTTTATTCTTTAAAACACTTTTTAAAAATATGTTACTAAATAAAATTGTTTATTTTTTATTTTAAAAAATTAAAAATTATTTTTAAAATAAGTTGCCAACCAGACCCTTATCCTCTCCGTTTTCGTTTTTCTGCCCAGTATCGTGGAAACTTACCGCTCTGATGAGGTGGGATAATAATTAAAGTTCTTTTTTAATGGCCGTAAACATTTTTTATTCCCAGTAACGCCGCGGGCCGGCGGCCGCATATTTCAGATCTTTCAGATTTAAAGCTTGACACCTGATAAAACGTGATGGGAAAATTTTTCCTCGTGATCACCATTCAAATTAAAGATCTAGACTGTTTAAATTTATATATATTTTATTTTATATTTATTAAAATAAAAATTATAAATCTTAATAAATTTACTTTATTATCAATGTAAAGAGTATATATTTTATTTAAATGGCTCAATTTAAGATTATTTTTTTATAATTTTTATAAGTTGATTATACAGATATATTCTAAACATTTGAATTTAATATTAAAATTTTATAAATTTTTATTTTAATAAATATAACATTAAAAGATAAAAATAAAGATAATCTTTAAACTGAAGTTTTAAAAAAAATTAAAAAAAGTTACAATTTAAAAATTTTAAATTTAAATTGTTCAGAGTACATTTTGATAGTTAATTTATAAAAATTATAAAAAAAATTATCATTCAGATTAAATTTATATTATCTAGATTAATAATAAAACAGATTTATTAAAATTTATAATTTTTATTTTTATTTGAATAAATATAAAATAAAAAATAAAAAATTGGATTGTTCATATTAAAAATCTAAACTCATATTGCTTATAATGAGTACCGAAACTGGTCTCTAAATTGAGCCTGCAGACAATTTAACATGATAAAAATCTTGCAGAACTTCGTTCTTTGAAAAGACAAGGAAAAAAAAAAGGATAGAATTGAAACTGCAAAAAGAGAAACTATTTTCCTTCGATGAAGGTTATCATTCAACTGAAACCAAAGACTTGGGTTATTCAATTTGCCACCTTGAACGTAATGCTTGTATGAAACAAAGTGGATCAGAGTGCATCGTAGAACTGGGAAGAAAGACGAGGTTTGATGAGAGACTCAATCGGAGTAGTCTTGGTAGTCGTGAGTCCAAAAGTTTCAGTCATATCAATGGGTTCATGAGATGGCTTTGAAATTTCAAAGTAGTGCAGGAATGTAGCCAAGATGAGATGAATGGTTTGAAGGCCGAAGGATATTCAAGGACAAATTCTTGAGCCACTTCCAAATGGTATGAACTCAAAATGATATCCCTTCACATCAACGTCCTTGTGGGCAGTGAGGAACCTGTCTGGATTAAATTCCAAGGGGTCAGACCAGATGGTAGGATCTGTTTGAATCTTCCAAACGTTTGTAAGGAGTCGCGTTCCCTTCTTAACGAGCAGCCGCCTATGGTGCAATCCTCTGTGATCTCGCGGGGTCCCATAAGGGTCGCTGGTGGGTGTAATCTCAGAGTCTCTTCAACTATATATGGCTTGCAGGCACACTAATTCATTTACGTCTGTTTCCAAATCCATGGGAGTTAAGAAAACAGATGTGTCCCAGTTCACCATCGGGCTCACCTCCGATACATGTTATGCTGTTCCAGATTTTGAATATTCTTATATATTTTTATTTTATATTTATTGAAATAAAAATTTACAAAATTATAAAATAATTTTAATAAATTTTTTATTTTTAATTTAATCTATATTTAATTTGAAATTTTTATAATTATTATGTATTGACTGATGTATTCTATATAATTTAGATTTAATTTAATGTTAATCTAAATAGTCAAATACACAGCAATTATAAAAATTTTAATATTAAATTAGGTTTTTTAAATTAAATTTAAATTAAATTAAAAATAAAAAATTTTTAAAATTTTTTTATAATTTTTATTTTAATAAATATAAATTAAAATAATATGTTAAAATTTAAATTATTTAAATTAAAATTTAAATGATTCAGATTTTATCACTTTAATCAACACCATCATGCTCAACACTGAAGTTGGGTCGTTCACCACCATGTTGCAAAATTGATCCTCTCGAGATCTGCGATGGGGACACCGTTGAATTTTGTCAAAAAAGGGAACCCTATGCACATATCTCCATTCGTTTGTCATTGATTAATGGGATAAAATCGTAAAAACATATCTCTTGATTTGATGTTCGCCCTATTACAACTTGACACCGCTCCCCAGACGCTGGATTGGATTAGAAATTGGAAAAAAAAAAATTTAAGTAAATCAAGTTGTTGATGGATCAGGATAATAAATCAATGTCAATTTTGATTTTGTTATGCGGTGTCTAATGCATTTACTTTCTCCGGGTTTCTATTAATAACAATGCATTCTTTCTGATTAAAAAAGTGTCAGTTTTTATAATTTTCCAATTAAACAGATATCATATGTAGTCAGGGACGGATCCAAATAGTAAGATATAGGGGGCAAAATTTTAAATAAGGTAAAATATGGTGGAACAATTTTTAAAAAGAAAAATTAAATAATTTTCAAAGGAAGGTGAAAATTATGGGCCCTCCTTAGATCCGCCCTTGTATGTAGTTTAGTTAAATTTAAGCAAAGGTAGGCGCAGTACCTTCAAAATTTCTCTGACTTTGTAAGACAAAATAAAATGATCACTAGTGATTTTTTTTTTTTAGTTTCTTTTTTCCAAAACAAACATGGGATAGAATTAAAAATTTTTTTTGACCTGAGGATAGAATTGATTGAAGCTGACAACAATGATCCATATACAAAATGCGACACTGCAAATGTATGGATCATTATGTTGACTTCGCGAGTATTTATGGGGAAGCATGCTCTGGCGGGAGTCGGTTTCTCTCTTTTGAGAGAAACCTCCCCTACTTCTCCCTTAAAGCAGAAAAAAATTTGGGTAGTTTAAATTTAATTTAAATGTTCTAAATTTAATAATTTTTATTTTTATTTATATTTTTAAATTAAAAAATATATAAAATTATAAATTATTTTAATAAATATATTTATCAATTTAACAGTCTAAATTTAATATAAATGGTCTATAATTAATATTAAATTATTTTAATAAATTTACTGTTTTGTTCAGAATATATTTACACTGTTTAGAATATATCTGAAAAGTCAATTTAAATTTTTTATATTAAATTTAAAGCATCTATATTAAATATAAACTTTCAGATTGATTAACATATTAATTAAATTTTTTATAATTTTTATATATTTTTAATTTAAAAATATAAATAAAAAATAAAAATAAAAATATTAAATCTGTACTATTTAAATTAAACTTGAACAGTCTATATTTTCCTCTATTTCAAATAAAAGATAAAGGAGGCTTCTCTCAACTCCGCTCTGGCATGCTGCAAAGACGCCGTGGCATATACTTGCTATCAGGATTTTGCACCAATATACATTTGGAAAATCTTGTTGTGTCATAATGTAGAGAGATGCCATCACATGATATTTGACTTTGTTTTTCTCTTCAATATATCCCTGCTTAAAGCACTTGACTCGTGATTTTAATGTCCCTCTGCATAGCATAACATATCATTAACGTACTTTCAGCTCAAGTGATCAATTTTTCTCATCAATATATAGAATGGTATATCAACTCTCTTCTCTTGTTTTTCAAAAGCATTTTCCTTTTCATATGTTTAAATAATGGTCTAATTGTCTTAAAAAATAGTTAGATAACTCTAAATTGATTCCAATAACACCAACAACATAAAAAAAAATATTGATAAGTGCTTATTTTATAGTTAAATAAGTGTAAATTTTAGTTTATGTTTAATTAAATTTATTAACATTATATATATATATATATATATTTAACTAAGTTTTTTATAGTTTTCTTTTATCACTTGGTTATAAGATAATGAAGAAGAGATTTTGACACATAATCTACTCATATTTTCTTTATTTTGATACAATTTTGGATGAAATCCAACAGTCTTCCATGAAACCCCAGCTTCTTTACCTCATTCTTGGTGTTCTTCCTTCATTTACCCCTGACAAATTCAGATAAAAGGAATTCATCTTGAGCAGAATGCAAATTACATATTCAACATGGTGTAGGGTTTCTTCAATTCATTTAAACTTTTTTAAAAATTTTGATTTTTTTTCCAACCCAAACTCAAAAAGAGAATCGCGAGAGGATGAGAATAATGCCTACAGTGAAGGAGCTTGTTGAATTCATTTATTTAAAACTTTATTTTCTCCAGGTATGTGCACTTTTAATGTCTATTGAAAATTCTAACGATTGACTTTTTCAAATTTAATTTTTATAATCCTATTGATATGGTAAAAGTTCAAGAATATGGTGAATATATCACATCCCAAAGCTTTGAAGACAACAATTCTAGTTGAAGGAAAAGAAAGAAGAGTGAGGAGGAGGAAGAAGGAAGAGGAAGAAAGGCAAAGAAGAGGAGAAAGAAAAAGAAAAAAGAAGAGATCGGAGAGTTTATCATAAATATTGATAAATTTTGAAAAGGTAAATGGGTCATTTTATCTAAAAGCACAATTGCAAGGCTCTCAAAATAATTTTAAATTCGATTGAGCCTTATCTGCAATTTTGTTGCTTTTATGGACTCTAAGTGTTATTCTCCCCTTTTCTTTCATTTCTTTTATAATACAGCCAATATCGATCGAGTTGTTATTCTAAAAATAAATTTGAGTTGTCCGTTGAGGATGACTTATTGGCAAAAGCATTGAAGGCATATAATGCTCGTCAATGTGAATCAAGTTCTTGATAGAGTCATAGAATTTTAAACAAGGTCAATTTTAATACTTTATTCTTTCAGACTTTAGTTAAATATATATAATTTTTGAACCAAACAAATATCACATGTAATTTAGTTAAATTTTAGCAGAGGTAGGTGCAGTTACTTCAAAATTTCCATGATTATTAAGACAAAATAAAGTGAGCAGCAGTGATTATTTTAGTGTTTTGTCTTTTAAAAAAAGAGCGCTGGATAGAATTGATCGAATTTGATAAAACCATCACTACTATATATGCCATTTTTTCATCGATCAAAAAGGCTGATGGCATAAGGCTCAACAGTAAATCTGCAGCGTATATAATAATGATGAATCGGCTTTACCACAAATCGAACCCCGCGGTTCCCTGCTCTGTGAGTCCTTTAATACTGAGGGAGAGGCGATTTAAGAGGCAGACAAAATGACAGAGGACGTCATGAAGCCTTCTGGGGTACCAGAATTTCGTTTCATTAAAATGCGCGCCAAGGACAAAAGGCTGTTTTTTTTATATTAATTTTATATAAAGTTTTATAAAAAACAACATTAGTGATAACAAGTATCTTGCATGACGTAGAAACGATCACTCTACAGTCTACGCACACTTGACACGCGCAAAACACATTAATTTCAACTTTTGAAGGCAAGCCACCCAACACTGAACATGTTACATATATATCAGACACGAGACTTTGGGAAGCAGAGGGGAATTCAGTGGAAAAGAGAAGGCGACAAGCGAGGCGTGAGTAAAACCTGAAGCGGGGCGGTTTTCATGTGAGTGAGTCCAAAGGTGGCGGACATATCGACCGCCGCATCGGAAGGGGTGGTGACATCAAATGCATGCAAGAGACCAGCGAGGGCCAGGTGTGTCATTTGGAGCCCAAATGAGATCCCTGGACACGCCCTTCTTCCTGCCCCAAACGGAATCAGCTCGAAATGTTGTCCCTTCACGTCAACCTCCCTGTGCCTCCCCAAAAACCTTTCTGGTTTAAACTCCGATGCCTCCGACCACACCCCTGCGTCTCTTTGCAGCTTCCAAGTGTTCAATATCAGGCGCGTGCCCGCTTCTATATGGTACCCACCCAGTGTGCAGTCTTCTGTGAATTCACGCGGACCCGATAGCGGTCCGGGTGGGTATAATCTCAGTGTCTCTTTGATTACAGCTTGAAGATACTCTAATTTGTTTATATCCGTTTCGCTCACCAGTCTCTTTCTGCCCACCTTCTCGTCCAACTCGTCCTGGACTTTCTTCAAAACATCACGATGGTTCAGTAATAATGATAGTCCCCATGTCATGGCAACTGCCGTTGTATCTGTTGCCCCTGTCATCATCATCTGCATGCATGCGGTACAGCAAATTTAGAATGGGGAGAGTGTTGGAATTAGCAGAAGTGGGAATTGATAACGTGCATACATACCGAGCAGGTGGCTTTGATGACAGTATCGGGATCGTAGCCAGCAAGATCAGCGTGGTCAACCACAGAAAACATGACATCGATGAAGTCCTGCTCTGTTTTAAGTACACCATAGGCTCTCTTTTGACGATTTTCCTCTAACCATTGACACATAATCATGTCCATCTCTTTGGCTGTTTTTTTCATATCCCTTACGTAACCACCGAAATCAAGCCACCCCAGCGGCGGAATTGCGTCTCCTATTACGGTCAGCCCCATCAAGCGGAAAAACTCCCTGAACACATTCCGACACCGCCTCACCTCTTCCTCGTCAACACGTTCCCCCGCGTACCTCTTTCCGGCGATCATTTGCAGAATCACGTTCAGATTTGTGTCTCCAAACCATCGCGTCATCTCCACCGACACACTGCCGGAGTCGTCTCCGTTGTTGGTCCATAGTTTGTAGATCTCTTTCAACGAGCTATGCACCTCAGCATCTCTGATATCTTGAAACATTTCAAAGCGGCGAGGGGAGAGTAACTCGGAAGCCGTGATCTTACGCATTTCGCGCCAGAAAGAACCGTAAGGGGAGAACCCAAAATTAGCATAGTCATATCCAAGGATCTTAGCGGCCGTGAACTTGGGACGAGAAGAGACTATGACGTCATGGGTGGTGAAACACTCCTTGGCTAGCTCCCGGCTGCTCACCACGACGGCTTTGTGGATGCCTATTCGGATGCCAAAAATTGGTCCATGCTTGTCGGCCAAATCTCCCAAGGTTACGTGAGGCTCCCCAGAAGCACCTAAGATGGGAAGATGACCGATCAGAGGCCACCCGCCGGAGGCTTCTGGCGGTTTTCGAGGATCCCTCTTCAACAAGAAGTAGGAAATTATCGCTATGGCGATAAGTCCGGCGACGGCTGCATTCAGATATTGAAGCATCACACTCATGGCGATTTGAGCTGCGGAAGTGGTGTCTTTAACAGAGTGGATGAATTGTATTTTGATAGTGGCTCACCGTCACCGCAAAACTTGCAATCAGATGGACATTGTGCCCTTTGTGTTTTGTCTCTAGTGGATTATATTTTCGTGGACAGAGTTCCTCACGTTAAAATCAGGATGGTTAATACCTCGTCAGGATGATGAACGTCGGGTGCTCATCAGGCCAATAGCCGTGGTTCCTACGACATACGGATATGATATTCATTCAGACCAAAACGTCGCGGGGGCGGTCTTATCTGAAACCTGTCATGTCAGTTGCCCGTCAATCACGCTTTCTCTCTGGCCAGTGGCCACGGATTAGCTACTCACTGTCAAATTTGAAGATTGTGAGATTATTTAATCAAACCACTGTTCCATTACTTCATACATTAAATTAATTTATGAAAAAACATAATTTTATATCCCTCAATTTTATTCACATTTTATTATTAATTTTTATATTTTTTTTAATATTTTTAATTTTTATATTTTTATATTTTATTATTTTAAGTCTCTCAATAAATAGAGTATAGAGACCTAAAATAATAAAAATAAAAATATAAAAATAAAAAATATTAAAATAATATAAGAAAAAATAATTAAATGTGAGCAAAATATAAGAAATTAGTTATATTTTTTCTTAATTTAATAATTAATATTTTTTGATAAAATTGATGTCATAAAATATTATTATTGTTAAGGTAAATAATATTATAACCTTATTAAAAAAGATATATATTTTTCCATCTTAAATGCACACACACACACGAAACTTTTTTAACTATGAAAATTTTATATCGGTCTTAATATTTTAGAAAAATATTATAATAAAACATAAATAAATAGAAAAATAGATCTAAATAATTAAAATATAATATGAACAGTACATAAATATATTGTAAATTGATGCCCACAAGATTTTAACACACCACAAGTACAAAGATCTAATGTAGTATAGTGATTCAAGATTGTCTCACAAAAAAAAAAAGTTAATGAGTAAAATAAAATTTTGAACTATTACTCAAAAATCATCTTGGACCATGAACTGTTAAAATATACACATTAAATCCTAAATTTTTAAATTCATAGTAAAATAAACCCTAACTGTTAACTTTTTTAACATTGTTACTATCCATACAGATACTATTCATGGTTTACTTTTCCACGAATTTAATCCTGACTGTTACAGACCCACGAGTATAATAACGGTATTAAAAAAGCTAACAGTCAAGGTTTATTTTGTGTGAAGTTAAAATTTTATAATTTATTTTATATATTTTAAGAGTTTAGGGTCCAGGGCAATTTTTGAGCAAGAATTCAGGGTCCCATTTGCTCATTAACTCCACAAAAGACTAAAGTTTTAAGTTAAGTTGTAACACACCAAATTTTTTTTTTAAATAATTTAACTCAACCATAGTTAGGTTACAGCTACCCAACACATTTTTATATCAATAATTTCAATATAAAATATTTTATAATTAGCTTCAACTCACACGCTATAACATTTCAGATAAATTTTTACCTCCCACATGCCATTAGTCTAAATCACATTTGTCCATCCTTATACTCCCAACAAGTAAACTAAATCACATTTGTCCATTCTTATACTCTCAACAAGTAAAATAAGCAATTTAATAAATTTTCAACACAAGCCAGTTATTTGGCCTTATAATCATGCCATTTTAACCAATCCAAAGTAAACTAAATATTAAAATTACAGTCATCCAAATTGTATCAAAAATAGAAATAGTTTGAAAGGCATGATTACATTTATATATTCATATAATTGACAATAAACAAAAAGCCCTATTATTGGCAATATAACACATTATAAATCATAAATTAAATACCCAAAAGAGACAGTGGATCTATACCACTAAGCCTCTGGGACTCTTCCACGTGTCACTCGTAGCTCTTCTCCTGAAAATTGTTAACCACATAATGAGACTCAAAAGTCCTAGTAACTAAAGCCAATTTATGATAGTGTATACAAACAGTTAAGTGTGTGCTTACTAAGTGAGAATTAAAAATAATATAATTCCAACAAATATAAGAAATATTACAATAAACACAAACAACCATCCTTATATCCCTCCATTAACCTCGAGCCGTAGCCCTCACTCAGTGCTAAATTACCCAGCCAAAGGTAGATTAGCCCGAGCCCTTACAAGCCACCTATTGAGCTCCAATAGGGGCGTACCACGTGGCACATATATACAACAACAATAACAAGTCTCCCAACACCTCCCACAATAATCAAACAAATTCATAATAATATTGCACAATATACAATATATAAAAAAAAATTCATAATTTTCTCAATAATCACCCAATTAACATGAAGTAACACTAATCATAAATTAAAAGCATGGTTACCTTGTGGCTTTTTCAATAAATTATTCCTTAAAATTTCTCTCTCACCACAATCTTCACCAGTAATACAATCTACAAATAACATATTATTTATAAATATTAGTTTCAATTTTTGAAACTAATAAAATAATTCTAATAATAGAATTAAAAATATAACATAATTCCTAATCTCAATCTTAATACAAATCTATAGTTAATACTATTAAGTAAAATTTTTAACTCCTCTTTTAATTATCAATAAACATTAATAATCTAAAAATCAACTTCTAAACTAATTTCTATTATCAAAATTTTCTTTTTATTTCATAAATTCGTACCTAAAATATCCAAAAATTAAAAATTGAGTCTCTAGCTTAGAATCATAATCCTATAACCATAATAATTCATTTCTCATCCCAAATAATCATCTAAACCTCAATAAATTAACATATATTTTCAGATCTAGTTTAGAATTTGATCCATAAGCCACAAATTCAAAGATCATCAACAAATTTATACTCTAGAACATTTATTATACTACTGACAACCTCAAAAACCATATTTATTCAACATAAATTCATCCCTCTTTCAGATCTTAAATTTTCTACCACTACAAACTCAGAAACTAAAGAAGAAGGATGACTAAGAAAAATTTTTAGAACACTTACTTAGTCTTGAAAAGCTTAAAATCACACCCTAAATATCCTATTAAAAACTCTTACCTTAAAAATTTAGATATTTCGCACCGGCAACTCGCTTCTCTCCGCCTCAGCTCGCGAGCAGGAAAAGAATTGAAGAAATGAAAGGAAACGGGTGAGTTTTATAAAAATTCAGTGGGTCTTACATTTTTTTATATTATTTCTTCTTTTCTCTCTCTCCACCTTTTTTTTTATTATTTTATGTTCATGCGCGCCGAAAGCAGTTTGTTTTTCTTCTTCTTTTCCCCTTTTTTTTAATACGTTTTCCCTTTTCTTTTATTATAATAATAATTTAATAATTTATTTTTTATTTATTTATTTTTTTAATTATTTTTTTTTAAATTTTTTTTAAATTTTTTTTAGAATTATATCCTAAGTTAGATTTAATAATCATCTCCTACTAATTTTCTTACCTCTAAATATTATTTATTATTTTTTTAAAATTTCTATTAACCCAAATTAACTATTAAAATTTAAATTGAGATATTACATAAGTTAACCAACAAATTTTTATTAAAATAAAAATAAAAACAAATAAAATAAAATAAGGCATAAAATATATATGAGGTAAGATTAGCAATTAAATAAAATCCTAGGAATTCTAATTCCTTTTCATGCTTTGCAATTCAATTTTTTCTAGTTATCATGTTTTAATTTAACTTTAAAATTAAAGATCTAATTTAGAGTTATGTATCCATCAATTAAAAAAAATCCGTGATCTAATTGTGCTATAATGTCTTATGCAAGTCCTAATTCAATTATGCAAAAATCTTAAAAAAATTAACCAGGGTTCTTGAGTATATACCTATCTTAAGAGCAAATTAGATTAATTCTAACCTAGGTTGCTTAATAAATGGTCCAATTGAGATTCTCTTTTGTCAAAAGTGAATTTCAAGATCCACACACATATTCAATAGCATGAGAATAAAATAAATCATATTAAGTATTAAAGCATCCATAAAAATTAATAACTATTAGAAAAAAATCTACCACAAAACCTTAAATATTCATAGAATTCTTAAGAATAAAGCAAAATTAACCACACATGATTTTAAATATGTATAAAAGTTCTGGAACAATTCAAAGAATCAAAAGTGTAGTATCCAGAAAAATTCTTTCAAGAAGCTCCATAATCACCCTTCAATGTTCAATCTAGCCTTCAAATTCTTAATTAACATTTCAAAATCACCTTCTAATCTTAAGATATAAACTTGGATGCCACCTCTATTTATATAGATAAAAGTATTTATAATTAAAGTGAACTGATTTTTCCCATGATTCCTACTCGAAATGGAATCCAAATATATATATGTATATATATATTTCTTTCTTTAAATCTTTATTTCGTCTTTTCTTTCTGTCCTGCACATGGCAATATCCAATATGCGATTAATAAATGCTAAAACACGTCCACAATGCAACAATAATGCTCATTACCCCAAAAGCGTTATTCTCTTTGTCAATGTCTTGCTCGTGAATACATCCATCCTCGGACTGAAGGCCGAACGTAACTGTGACTCTGACGTCTTTGCCAAGTGATGCCACTTTAGTTTGTATGTATTGTCCTTTTCTTTTCTTTAATTTATTATTTTTCCTGCGAAATATAAAAACAAAAATATAAGTTGATTTTATGGCAAAATTCTATCTTATCCTATAATTAAATGATAAGTGAGAAATGTGTAAATATTAATTAAATAAGCATGAAATATTAATAAATTTAATTAAATATAAATCAGAAGCTATATATCTATTTAATTATAAAATATGCACTCATCATAAATTAATTGTATACTATAATTAATAATAAATGAATAAATTTGATTAAATCTCAACTATAGAATTTTTAATCTAAAGACGGGCACGAGATAAGGAGAAGAAAAGGAAAGAAAAAACAATGTGAGGATTCAAATCCACACCGAAGCAAATGTAACATTTTTAAAGGAGAAGTAATCGGAATGGAAACGGTAAAGAAAACGATGGCGAGTTTTAAAAATACGCTTGATATATATATATATATATATATGAAAAGGAAATGAGATATTTCTTTAAATTATATTCTGTACGGTGAAAAATAAAAAATTAACGGAGATAAATAAAATTTTAAATAATAAACTATCATTGAAAAATA